TTACGGTCATTCTACTAACTACAATAGCTAATTCAAACACACTACTTCAGTAGTAGTTACGTGCAACATCGTCTTCAATTTCCGCACGTGTGCCATTTTTTAACGCATTGATTCAACTCAAACTGTATACGATCATATCTTGTGACTTCATTTTTTAAAAATATTTTCATGGTACTCTAACGAAACTGGAGGGTGTAAATATTTTAATAACATTACGTCAATGTGGGTTCCTTTCTTATGACGTCCACGCACCTCCGACGTGATACGCAACAAATTCCTACGTAAAAATCCCAAATATTACATATTACGACACCAATTAATGAAACTTCGAAACAAATTAACTTTAGAGACAATACACGATTTCGTTGATTGTGACAGTGCCGCACCTCGTGCAATGAGATAAAACAGAATTTTATAAAAACAAAATTATCATTCAATATGCATAGACGTAATTGAGTTAACCTTCGATGGCAAATAAATTCAATGGGTTTTGAGGGTGTCCCACACTACCTTCCACCCAAATTGGAAAAATACATTATGATGAGAGCGTTAATTAAAAAAAGTCGATATCTCGTGTGCTTCAACTTCGTATTTACAAAAAGTGAGGCGCGGGCGCGGGCACGACGCCGGTGGCGTCGTTTCGGGGCGAGCGCTTCGATCGCGCGCTTGTTGCTTAATGCAGCGCGGGCGCGCGGGCGGGCGGGTGGACTGTCACGTGACCCGCCCCCAAAGGCCGCGGCGTTTCTCCCTCGCCGCGGGGGAAGTTGGCGGAAACTTTGGGGGCAAGTTACGCGACACGTGGGATCATGCCGTGGGAGGCAAGCGGTGGAGGTGGCGGTGGCAAATTCCGAGGGAAACGAATGCCGATATTAAGCGGAATTTAGAGCGACGCTCATGTTAATTTACGGCGACGGGGCGTTACGTGCAAGAGCCTTCTTGTGAAGTCAGGCTCCGTAATTACAAAAGGGAACATGTCAATGAACCGCGATACACTAGAGTAAAAAGAAAGGAAAAATTGAAATGGTGAGACCTACGAGAGTAATACAATAACTAGTGGTTCTACAGGACGCCATACATTCTCGTATCATTGATAACAATTAAGATGCAACTAATCGAGGGCTACAATTTTGCAAAATATAATAATTAAGTAGAACCTAAAAAACACTATCAATATTTTACACACACACACACACACAACCACATTGTTTGAAATACAGCTCATAATGTGCTTTTGTAACATTTTCTGAAAGATTCTTAAGAAAAATTTACCTTTGGCTCATATAGAATGGCCAATAATTCGCTTATCAACGCTAAACACATACACATGGCGGAATGCGTTCATTTAATTTCTTTGTCACGTCAATAGTGGCTCCAAGTCACCTTAAGCTTTTGGTAGATTAATACTCACACTTATAAATAAACTTTTCCTTTAAAAAAAATTACGAACCAAAATATGTTCTCTAAAATTTTAATAAACAAATTGTTCAGTTATTGTTTGCAATATTTATTTTACAGTCGGTGCCGTTTAGTCACAATACGAATAGGGGTACTACGCAATATCGGATACTTATGGCTACATCACGAACGTTCTTATCTTGTCTCCATTTTTTCTTAAAGTGGAACCAACATTTCAGTTCACGCGTCTACCTTCCTCACTTTTTCACGGAACCGAAAATGTATTGCACTCACATTAAACAAAGCGTATGCACTGCATCAACTAACGGCGTATGTTGCCGTCTCACCAAAACGATGATCCATTGAAAGAAACTCGCTATTAAAAGCAGAAGAACGAATAAGATACGTTACCTTTTCATATTTCTTCTTCTGTGATTTTAAGGGCAAGGAACAACTGCAGCTCGCTAACAAACGTCCACATAAGAGAGAAATGCCGCGTGAAAGATGAAAAGTAACCACGGAAAAAAACAACAACTGAAAATAGGGAGAAATCCAGGAGGGAGGAAGGAAAACAAAAAGTACAATTCCAAAGCGAAGATAAAATAAAATTTTAAAAAACCATAAATGGAGAGCGGGGAGGCACCACGCTAAAAGCTTGGACTTTAAGCCAACGTTCACGGAACTCGGAACGACGGTGCAGTCGTCGCTTCACCGTGCGCCTTGCAGCCGCTTACTGAAGAGGCCCTTCTTGGTTTTATCTAAAATGCGGGCGAAGAGAAACGTACGAAATCCCAGCAAGACAGAACGCGCTCTTTAAAAAAAAGTTCCAACATTTGAAGTGGAAGATTCCTAAAGATCGTTGCAACACGCTTAGCAAAGATTTCCAATCGTCAAATCTGGAACGCGTCCAGGCGACAAAAAGATAATTCTACTTAAAATATCACATACTAAAATCTCGAATTACTTAGAACGTTGCTTTAGTGGTGAAGAGATAAAAAAAATAACAAAACGAGATTTGTTCTAACGCATTGTTATTTGTCTTTCCACAAATAAATTACTGAATGTAATACGAGGGATTAAATGACATGTTACACGAAAGAAAGAAAATTCTGACCCAAAATTAATTCTTAGAAAGTAGATACATTTTTTTTGACGAAAAAGGTCGTTATAAACATAACATTGATAAGAAACACGAGTTAGGAATTAGTGGTGATACAAAATGGTACAGCATTTCTCACACTAGTTCTTAGTTTCAGCGGTACCCTTTCAGTTTAGCCCCTCCACCTCCCCGACACAAGGGTCAGGGCCTCTCGCGCTTCTCGCACATCACACCGAGACAGCCCTTAGGCCCATCTCGGTCCTGCCGCATTGGGTAACCCGTGTCCCAACCGCGATGTATCTACCATTGTTGTGGGTGCAAGGATCTACGAGTAGCTCCTTGATTTCACATACACCTCCTATTTACCGCTCAGGCAAAGAGAATATGAAAGATTTGGAGCAAAAAATCTACTTTCTTAGTGTAAGGGACTCGGGAAACGTATTTTCCTGTCGGAAAATCGCCATTTTTTCTTATAGTATTAAAATAACGTTATGTGGAGTGGAGGTGAGTCAAAAAACTCCTTTTCCAAAAGGAAACTTTTGAAGTTAAAAGGGAAGTTCGATAAGTCTCAGCCCGCCTCCTAGTAGGACTCCCCATATTTTCCTTTGAGGATCTGCAGCCGACAGCTGGAAAATCGCAGAACTAACGTTATTCTGTCGCCGTGGAACAGTTGGGAGGCAGTTGGAACAAGTACTCTGATAAGTAAGGTTGGGTGTAGCTGTCGTATGTGCTATTGTTGAAACATTTATTTCTGGCGACATTACGTTGATAGAGGAAGTCTTTCGGTTTTCTACCTCAACATGTAATAGAATACGTAGTACGTTGATTAATCACTTGCTATAGCATTTTAGGCTCGTTATAATTGAAGGAGATGGATTTTTTCTGAAAATATGCCTTTACCCTAATTGGGGCCCGTGCGCGTTCCAAAGTAGGGCCGTCTGTTAAGGCGTATGCAGAGACATTTTCTTGCAATGACTTCACTAAATTAATTATAACTATATTTTATTCATAAATACACCAACTTTGAATTTCGCCGTTTATTTCACAGTACAAACCCTCCCTTTACCGAAGATTACAAAGAGGATTACAATATGGGGTATAAAGTCCTCTTTTCTATTGCAAATATATCTTCTCCCTACGAATACAGGACAGTCGATCAAAGACATAGAAAATCTTCATGGCGAGGAAGTGGCAAGCAAAGAGAAAAGGAAGGAAGAACATACGGCAGTGGAATCATGTGAAATAAACCAAATACAGCAAGCACGAGCCTTTGCTTGCGATCTTCTGAGAACGAAGTCACCAGAAGATGAACCCACAGTCTCACGTAAGTCAACTTCCTCAACTATGGACCTTCCTGCTGGTAATGAAACGACTTACAATGATGACGTCTCCATGTTCTTTGAAGAGAATAGTAATTGGATTGCCGTGGAAAACTGAGGGTGTGCATACTGCAAAACTGGGTTCATGTAGAATGCCCAGGAACGGAGAAAGATGAGTACGATTGTGATTATTACAAATAAATTTCTTCTGTGTCACGTACGAAATTTGAGTTTCTCAGCAATTAAGTATAGTCAAATAAATTAGTATTAACCAAAATGTCATTGTGTTTCTTCTGTACGATATCATTGATAGTAAGGGTAAACAAAGGGGTTCGACTTTGGAGCATTTTTTTCGAAATGGTTATTTTATATGCTTGTAAAAAATCACATTTTCTCCGTCAATTATCATTTTAGTTAGGTTTTCGTACAACAAACCATTGAATGACAAGTTGAGAATTGTATTGTCATCAGCAAAATGATTGTAGCTTTAACAAAAATAAAGCGGCAGTAGTAAAAACGAACTGGAGGTCATACTTTAGTGCACTTCCCCTGCTCTGAATAATGTAAGTTCACTCCACGAGTTATGAAATTAATTGCAAATCAACGCTTGGAAATGAAAATGGCACAATGCATTACATTATGAATACAATTAGTGCAGGTTATTTGAAAATGGGAATTACAGTGATATATTATATTATGACATCACTAAAGGATGCCATTTTAAATAAAAGTGAAAGTTTTGAACCAATTTTTAAACACTTGTATTAATTACAAATTTAATTAAAATAACACCATCTCGATCAGGTTTTGTCCAGTTTCCCTGATCCTCGAGCAAATGTTGAGATGGTCGCTTGTTTTGCTTCAGGACATAAATGTAACTTGAATTTAACTTCTCCCTATAGCATGTCACACAGTTTTTAACTGATTTTGACGTAAATAATAAGTAAATAAATAAAAAATAAATAAATTTCTTAAATATTTTCCCTTCAGTAAACTTTCCAGACTTTTTCCACGGGTGTAACTTTCCTAGACATGTCCAGGTTTTCCAGCTTTTCTTCTCCTCAGACGAGAACGAGGAGCAGAAAGGCGAATAAGTAGAGAAATTTTGCGAATTAAAAATTGAGACACCGTCTGATTAGTTTGTTTTTAAAAAAAAAACTGAAAGAGCAAAGCGAAACAGCACTCACCGGTCGGTCCTTGGAGATCTTCTTGATCATGTTCTCCAGGTACTCGGGCAGCTTGTTGATGGGGTTGTTGCTGTGCGTGAAGAAGTGCGGGCTACGCCGGGCCAGCAGTCGCAGCGCGCGCCAGCCGAAGTTGCCGTCGTTCACCCGCCTGCAACCGCCCGACAACGCAACTTAGCGCCGAGTTCACTAACGAGCAGCCCATCCCAGGCCGCCCCGCACCGTCCCGCCCAGCCTCGCGGCGTCTTGTGTAACAGGGAGGAAGCAAGGGCGCTAAGAGGGCGTCATCGTTCTCCTCCCGACGAGACGAAAGGGAGCCGCTGTGGGCGGAAGGGTTCTGGGCCCATCTAAGGTTCATGTAAAGGGAAGCCGCCCATTCACATGACAAATCTAGTGGTGATTGCATTTCCTGCTCTCTACGAATAGCATACAGCTAAACTGTTATTACGTTTATTGGCCAATTAGTTTATTGTTTAACACGGACTCAGAGTTATTTAGGTCAAAAGAGAACTCTGTTTCTGGTGTCCCAGCATCAATGACAGCGACCTGAAATTTGGATGCGATATCTAATGTCAGGCTAATGTATTTGGCGTTAACCATACGTCATTTAAGAACAATTCTAGAAGATCAGAGCTCTTACAAGAATCTACGTCCTTCAAACATGAATATGGCTCATTCCTCAACTTGTTATATACAATACACATAAAAAAATTAAAAGTTCATTTCCGTCTTCAACAACCTTTCGAATTATCACTAGAACCATTACTAAAACAAACAAATATAACGGTTGAATGTTTTTTTCAAAGTGAATTCTTACCACTGTGAATAAACGTTAATAAATAGCGCGCGCTTTTAAGAAATAAATAGGAATAAACAACATTAGCATTCACATAATTTTTCAGATTTCGCAATTTTCGAAACATCAGTGATTTCCACGAGACAAGCACCATTGTTTGAAAGTTCTTTACGCTATCCGAGGACACAGTTTAATCCATATAATTGGAGTAAACTTTGAGAAAATGATGGAAATAAAGATGTGGTTTCATGTAAAGTACCCCCTAAATCCAAATTTCCGTTTGAAAATCGTAGGGTCTCGAGTTCGTTCAGCGCTAGCGTTGACCACTGAAACGAAGGAAGTTTCGGACAGACAGAAGTTTTTTTACAATTTATTTTCGGACGGGCAGACCATTTATTTTCGGTATCAAGGATCCACAAAACATGTATCTGACTACACAACGTGTTAGATGAAGTTTACTACTTGTTGAAAAAAGAGTTAATCAATTTTTCGTTACCAGAGCCTGAAAAAGTTTTTTTTTTTTTTTTAACAGAAAAATCGATGATTTCGGCGTGCGTTTCCAATACATTCACTTCTTACGGAGATAAAAAAGTAAAATCTATGTGTTCATTATTCTAGGTGGAGGAAGACACCAAAAAGTTATAACTTTTACAAATTTCGAAAACTCTTTAAGAATTCAACGAAATGGGCCCAGACGCGTTTTTTGCTTTATCTGAGAAGAAAAATATAAAGATAACATTTGGGGGAATGTTTGAGGAAATTTTGAACATGCTACTGTAAATGTCATGTAAACTACCCCGAAAATCAAAATATCCGTTACAAATTTATGTGGCCATGATATCAACCAGTGCGATTGGGGAACATCAATATTGTTGAAAATCCTGCCTACATTTAGTCCCCAGCGTTGTTCAGAGACAGACGGACAATGCATTTATTGCTTTTATTTGGGAGTTACTTTCAAAATCGATAATGTTTGCTGTATCAGGGACCCGCAGTTTGAGATTTTGTCAAAAAAGTGCAGTTCTCCGCTGAAGCATTGCAATACATTATCTACACTACGTAAGTAGTACTTCGCGAGAAAGTAAAAAACCTTTCCTTAAATTTTACCACGAATTTTCCGGTTCTTTAGCGTTTAAAATTTACTTTCCATTAAGTCCGAACTTACGAGAACTGCTGATAGAGATAAATGAAGATATTACGGCCAGAACCATTTTCGAAGGGTCAATGCAGACTGGGCCATCCAACAAATATACACATACGAGTAAAAGGGAAATCCGCACCTGCGTGGGATATCTAATTCTGCCTTTAATCCTCTCAAACATCAACAATAACTACGGTTCACTCTAGCATTATTCGCTTGATTATTTCATTAAATCATTACATTTGATAGTGCTGATATTAATGAGCAACTATCAAATCAGAAACGGGCAATTACTCCTGAAAATACATATCTATATCCTTCATGCCTTCGTGCAGATGCAACGACACAGGCGAAACTCCGCTCCGAAACGTCATGCTTCCATGCCACCGAAAATGACACGAACAATATGCGCACGTTATGTACGAATGAACGATACAATGCTTCGCAAAAGTGCCACTCCCACGACGGGTACATGCATCCCAATCTGCGTACTTGAATGTCATTGAACGTTTTATTTGGAGAATGCAATTAATTACATATTGGGAGGACGGGGGAGATACGTTTCGCGGTTCACTGGTTGTCACTTCCTAATTATAGCTCGTTATAGGCTTGACTACACTGACAATTAGTGAAAATTGTAAAATTATACATGATGAGAGGCACGTTCCATGCTCATAATAATGAAGATCCTGCTCAACCTTGTATAGGGTACCGACGGCTCAAGCGAGAGATATTTGAATCAAATACTGCAAACCAATCGTAGAGTCATCGATTGAAGTGATCCAACATACACTGAAATTAACACGATAGAGCAACTGATTGACTGGTGTTTCTGGAAGCGTCAACTGCTGTGGTCATTAGTCGCGTACATATGTATTTTATACCCAGGTAGGTGGCATTAGGCCTCCCCCTAGATCTGGGGCTGATCTACAAGTCTACAGGTGAGTCTCTCCCCTCCTCCCAGCGGGCCCACCACGGGGCAAGCTCTAAGCGTCCGACTGGTCCCCCGACGTGTAGTATAGTGTAACAGCACGTAGTGTAACTCTGTGTAAGGGAGGAGCTGGGGATTGGATAAGTAAACACAAATCTGGTTAAGGCGCGTACAAAGGCGGTCTGTGGGGCGTTTGCTAAGGTCTTTGCTCCGGCATTCGCCTAGTCATGATCGACTGATAGATTTAATTGATTGTTTAGTAATTCCGGACACGTCAACTACCAGGGTAATTAGTCGCGTAAGTGTAATGCATGTTTTTTTTGCTGGAGAGGTCGTCTAGCGGGGTTTTTCCAACCAGGTATCTCCCACCAGCGGGACACCGCCCCAGACTGGACAAGCTCTTACCTCCCGGCTTGTGTGATAGTGTAATGCATGTGTGTGTATGTGTGTGTGTGTGTGTGTGTGTAAGGGGTGAGAATAGAACAAGGAAGAGGAAAGTAACATCGCGCGCCATGGCCCGTTTGTAAGGGTACTGCTCCGGCATTCGCGAATCGGAGAAATTACGGAAAACTACCTATCAGAGCAGCAGGCCGCTAGAATTCTCCTTCAGAGTAATGCTCGAGGAAACCATGGAACCTATCAATCAGAGCAGCCGGCCAATAGAATTCTCCCCAGACAGCGACTGAATACCATTTAGCTAGTGTGGAAAAATCGCCCTCTCAGAACTCGAAGCCTAGGATCTCCCGGACAGAGATGCCGCAGTGGAAACAGTTACTGCCCTGAGCTAATTCCACCTCCACGTCAAGATGAATACATTATCTTGTTCTCAAAATCATTTCATAACATTACCCACCCGACACTACATTAATTTAAAGTTATAACCAGTATGATCGAGATGATCCCGACTCAATCTCCCGGACCGATGACCAGAGAGTTTAACTCTCGAACTCGGCTCGGACATTGACCTCAGACCCGTGGAACCAGCAAGTGTTGGTGCCTAGAGCATATTCAGTGAACACTCCATTCGAATATATGGATAAAAAAAACGGAATCTCGAAAAACCCTAAGGGAAAAAATAAATAAAGAAGACTAAGAGACCTATATAGTTAAATCGGTTCACAGACTTGAACTTCCCTCCTTTCATCATTCAATATAAAACTTCAGCTGCCTATAAGAGAGGATACACCTCAAATATGAAACATATGTATTCGAATAATACTCGTAGTTCGAAATCAAATTTCCGCAATCATGATATTCAGATACTTCACTAGTCCCCCTCAAAACGGAGAGTCAACACTCAACCGGATATCAAACTGGACCACTGAGGCATGCGAACGCAAACGTGTTTTAATTAAACAGGCGTAGTGTTAAATACGCCGACCACACTCCACACATTACGACAACATTCCTTACGGGAACCGCTCGATGAGTTTCGCGCAATTAAGAACGGCACAATGCCAGCAACTTCCGCGCAAACGACAGCCCGCGCCGCCGCGAGCTCCGATGCACGAGCATTGCGCTCGCGTAAATCCCGTCGCCGGGCCGGCAGCGACGCCACGCAACCCCGCGTACCCGAAATAATATAACAGAGCTGGCGGCCACCGCACGCGTAGACCTTTCACGCGTCGGGGGGGAGGGGGGGGCGAGAGGTTTACGGCGCGAGCGGCGAGGGGCTCTGCTTCCTTCTCCGACTATTAGAAGCGGGCGCTTCGCGTGACCCGCCCGCCCGCAAATAGAGTTTCCTGCACAGCGCGCGAGCCCCATTGTAGAGCCGAGAGAGACAGAGAGAAGGGCGTGCGTAATACAATAAGGAAAATGAATCACAGGAGGCGACAGCAGGCGAGCGCGAGGTTCCATTGCAGGCTATCGCGTTTCCGTCGGAGCCGCGACACGACGCGCGACGCCCACGCCGTCTCGGCTCGGCGCCACGGGGGCGGTGACGGCGGCAATGAGGACGGCAGTGGTGGTATTGGTAGTAAATGTGGTGGTATTCGAAGTACCGGTGGTAGTAGTGTTATTGGTAGTACTTGTGGCAATAGTGGTATAGGTACTCCCGGTGGTGGTGTTATTAGTAGTGCAGGTGGTAGTGGTATTGGTGGTGATGGTGGTAGTGGTGGTGGCGACTGTGACGGGGATGGGGGCAGAGGTGATAGTGGCGCGGATGTCAGCGTCGGCGATGGTAAGGGTGGTAGTGGTCATAGCAAAAGTGATGGCGGCGCCGGCGACTGTAATGATTGTGCTGACGATTACAGTGATGACGTAGGTAGTGGTGGAAACAGCGAT